TGTGAGTAATGGCTCCTGGGAGGATGCCAATTCCATGCTCAGGATCCAATTCCTGGACGCTCTGACCGGCGACGCAGGTTGTATTACAAAAAATTTAATATTATGAAAAATTTACACAAATAAAAATAAGCTACTTATTGCTATTATACTTGCACTACCAAGAGAGATGATATGAAGACTGTGCAAGAAAAACAGCTTATTGCCATCTGGATAAAACAAATCAAATGACAACTATGGACATTGGAAAATGGCAAAAAATCTAAAAAAATCTTTTGCAGAATAAGAGAAAATAACACTGCAAAAGGGAAGGCACAGAGTCTTGGCACTGCACACAAGTGTTCGCATGTGCCCAGTCTACAAGTTACACACCTGAAAGAGTGGCCGATCAAGTAAGCCTAGTGCTCATACTTTGGGCCATGAGATGGCACTGAAGCATCTGGATCCAATAGGTTAATAAAGGTAAAGATATATCTATTTTGCATTAGTACCTCATTCAGGAAGTAGTCAAGAGCTGCCATAGCCACTGCAACACCATCATGAGTGGATGTTCCTCGGCCTAACTCATCAAGAATAACAAGAGAGTGTGAAGTGGCCTCATGCATGATGTCTGCAGTTTCACCAACTTCAACCATGAAGGTACTGCGTCCTGTATAGATCTCATCTGCTGCTCCCATTCTGCAAGAGTTTGTTCAACATTATTGTCACTGTCATGACAATAAAAATATATTTTTCTAACCAAAAGAAGTTACACAGACAAAGACATCATTGAACACCACAAAAAAAAAAAAAAAAAAAAAAAAAAAAAAAAAAAAAAAAAAAAAAAATATATATATATATATATATATATATATATATATATATATATATATATATATATATATATATATATATAAACATACAAAAAAGTAAAATACCTTGTGTATATTGCATCTAGTACAGACATCTCTACATTGTCTGCTGGGACATAACTTCCAGTCTGTGCCATCAATGCTATCAGAGCCACCTGCCGCATGTAGCATGACTTGCCTCCCATATTTGGTCCTGTTACCAACATAACACGTTCACTATCTGTCTGTTGATGATAAGGAGAAAAAGGTTAGTTGCCATTTCCATTCATTCCATACTAAATCCAAAAGGAGTCAATGGTGCTACATCTCTACTGAATAAAAAAAGCACATTTTCATATGAAATTTTCTGTCTCTTATGACTCCTAGCTGATATTCCTAGAATAAGAGGGTAAACCTCCCTGTCTGGTACAGGTACAGAAAAAGAATCAAACTTCCTTCAGAGGGAAAGAAAGAGAAAGAGAAAGAGAATGAGACAGAAAAGAGAGAGAGAGAGAGAGAGAGAGAGAGAGAGAGAGAGAGAGAGAGAGAGAGAGAGAGAGAGAGAGAGAGAGAGAGAGAGAGAGGGGGGGGGAGGGAGGGAGGGAGGGAGGGAGAGAGAGAGAGAGAGAGAGAGAGAGAGAGAGAGAGAGAGAGAGAGAGAGAGAGAGAGAGAGAGAGAGAGAGAGAGAGAGAGAAAGAGAGAGAGAAATAGTTATCTTTTGGATAGAGGTATCTCAATTCCATGTACCTGCAAGTTTGTGTCGTTGGCCACATACTGCTCATCTCCATGCTTCAGCTGACTCACAATTGGATGTCTTCCTCCTGTTATCTTCAGGAATCCTTTTTCTTCATTATCATGAAGCACTGGTCGACAGTATCCTTGGGCTTTTGCAACACTTGCAAGAGAACAAAGAGCATCAAGCTCTGCAAGGCATCTAACTGCCTGACGATGTCGCTGGTAGTGATTTGAGAAGGAATCTAATACTTGAAGCCAAGCCTGGAATATAGTTTTATCAAACAAATTTCCTCTACTGTTTTCAACTAATCACCCTGTAATCATAAACAACAATTACACATGCAATTACTAGCTATTCATATGAAAAGGTTGCCCAAAAAGGGAAAGTTACTAAGCATATTGATATATTCAGCAAACTAATATGAAGTTTGTAACAGCTGATATCTCAGATAAGGTATGATGTCTTAACACCTACACACCTCATGACAAGACACCTGCAGCTGTTCACGAAGCTGCTGTAATTGTGTTAAAAGCCTGTCCACTTCTGGTGACCTGAATCTACAACAGGCCTTTGTACTGAAACATAATGTAATCTTAGTGAAAGAACTAATATAACTAATTACATATACTTCTATGTAATGATAAGAAATAATATATACACACACACATATATATACATGAACTTCATATCACTCTATCTAAAGCATTACATATGCATATCCATGTAAAACTTATACCACAAATTTTTAAAAACTAGTGTAATAAACACTGATTGTAAGTGAGAAAATATTTCATTTAACCCAATGGTGCCGGGGAAAATGAACAAAAAATGGGGTAAATATTGTGCCCAATTTCTATGTTTTTCGTGAAATGTCTGCCGATAGATGGCTCTGCTAGCGCCTGATTTAAATGGCGGGAAAAACGTATTTTTCACTAGTGCTATGAAAATCGATGGTGTTATTTTTATCATAAACATTATAATTTTCATAATTTTTTTTTTTACATTAGTAACAGCAAAATAAGATTACGTAAAATATTTTGTAAATCAAAGAAATGGGTAAATGGCCGAGACGGGCGGTGCTCGTAACTGGCTCATTGGGGAGTTAGTACAAGTGTTGCCATCTATGCGTAAAAACAATCAAACAAGTACTCACGGTGGGCATAGCACGTACGTACACGTCATACCCGGCACCAAGGGGTTAATAACCCAATAACTTATTCCCATAATAAGAACAACATTGAATAATTAACTTAAGACAATGAATTGGGGTAATAACAGTGATCATGATTATTTACCTGCTAACTTTCGTCCAGTTTTTAGGAACTGCTTTCAATTGAGCATTTTTTACTTCAATTAGATATTCTAGGCCAGATACTGTTGTGTAATTAAAACATGGTAGTCGCAAAGCCTGGAATGTTCAAATGATTAACTGTATTATTGTTTATCAAAATTTATAAATAATTTGTTATATATTTACATATTCATTTATCTATCTGATACAGATATATAGGGCATTATCTGTTAGAGTAATATCACAATGTAACAGAAACAACTGCATATCTTACTCTTGCAATTTCTGGTTTCTGATCTTTTAGTTCTTGCTCAACATCAGAAATTTCCTTTTGCTTTTCCAAGACCTTTGGAAATTCAGAAAAATCTCGCAAAAGTGTTTTTTTCTTTCCCTCTCTGAAAAAAATGATCAAGATAGATTAATTACGATCAAAATTTAAACACCCGTACAAAATAACTAGACAGACATATAAAGTATATATATAGTAACCTACAAATATTCATAAAATCTACATACACATATATGCATTTATAATCCTAAAATACTATAAGATCTGTAATTTTAAAATAGACAATCAAAAATGCTTACTTGGCACTTGATGGATCAATATTGTTTGCAAAATCTTCAACATTTGACAGGCCATCAAGAACTTCCTGCAAGCGCTTCACTAATCCTGGTGTTTGTACTGTGTCACCAACATTACCACCGACCCGTAAGAGCTCTCTGTGTACTCGGCTTAGTCCACTTACTGCTAGCCAGAATTCATGAGGACTGCACTATAATGAAAATACACAATCTGTACCTTTTCTCAAAAGACATCAGAAAAGTGAATGGCTCCTCAGAAGAAACATCAGACACCGAACAGTTAATACAATCTAGGCCACAGAATTCACAAATATGAAGAAAGCTTCTGATGTGTAATTTATCAAGGAAGGAAACTTACTTTTTTATGGAATATTGTTGTGAGAGCCCTTTCAAAATCAGGTAATTTATTCAAAACATTCTTCAGCGACACTATAACTGGTGCATCAGAGGCCATCAACTCCTCAATCATGTCTTGACGTTCTATAATACCTTCTAAACTCAGTAAGGGTTGAACCACCCAGCGGCGAAGAAGCCTAAGGAAATAAGGGTTTAATTCCCATTCTAAAACTTTGCATGGGATTGAAATAAATAAACCATTATGCTACACATACGTTTCAACTTAAAGACATACTTAATAAATGAAATAACTAATACATTAAATAATATATATAAGCTACATATCACCAAGTGAATAGCTAATATATTACTCTCATTTTGCGCGCAAGATGTTTGCTTTGATAAAAAGCCTCATATTTTTCATGTGAGAAAAAAAAATATATTCAATACCTTAACTATACACAAGTTCTAAATCATTATAACTATTACTTTAAAATCTATCAGTGTTCATATTAGAGAAAAAATGAAAGAAAAAAAGCAAGCAAAAAAAAATTTACCTGGATCCAAACTTCGTCTGCGTATTATTAAGAGCCCAAAATAAACTTCCTTTGGTTCCCCCATCCACCCCATTAGCTATGACTTCCAAATTGCGTACTGTTGCACCAGACAGTCGCATGTGGTGCTTTTCACTGGTGTATTGCCGTATGGACCTGTTGGCCAAAATTAGTAACTTACAATAACAGAATGACTATCTGATCTACTTCTTCATATAATGAAGGGAAAGAATTACAGATTAAAAAAACAGGGGATATATTATAATATAAGTTCAAAATAATAAAATATTAACATCAGTTTAATAATAACTATCAGCATTAGGAAAACTTGCAAACATTTTGTACTTATGTCTAACAGCACTTGCCTTGATAATATAATAGATAGAGGCTTCTATTGTAATCAATATTTTTAATTCTTATTTTTCTATATATTCTTTAAATTATCAGTAAGATCACTATTATTTTTTTAACCACCATAAGGTGAAAAATAATTGTCATATACATTCACCCTGGCTATTCAAAGATAATTCTTAATAATCATTAGCAAAAAATATTCTTTCCATATCATTTGATCACACTAACAATTAAGGTGGACTTACCCTGCCATTTTTATAATACGGTCCAATTTGAACTCTGCAAGATAATCCAGAGTTGCACCTAAGCAGCCAAC